ACCAGTTTTTTCTAAAATTTATGAAAAAGCAATGTACAATAGATTGATTACTCATTTCGAGGAAAATAACTTACTAGATGGCGAGCAGCACGGTTTTAGAAAAGGACGTTCTGCTGTAACAGCAGCTGTTGAATTTGTTGAATCAGTCATTAATACAGTTGAAACCAAAAATAAAGTAGTAGGTATATTTATTGATATTACAAAAGCTTTTGACAGTGTCAACCACTCACTATTGATAAAAAAATTGGCTGGATTCAAAATTCGTGACCCAGTTTTGTTATGGTTTAATAGCTATTTAAGTAATAGAAAACAATATGTTGAACTAACAAAAACAAATAAAAATCATTTAATTAAGGAAAAATCAGAAACAAAATTAATCAAACACGGTGTACCACAAGGCTCAATTCTAGGTCCACTGTTATTTTTAATATATATAAATGGTTTGCCAAAATTGGTGTCTGGAAACAAACAAAACAAGCTCTGCCTGTATGCAGATGATGCAAACTTAAATATTTGTGGTGGATCAGTCAAGGAACTAGAATCTTCTATTCAGGAAAACTTAATCGATCTTAATAATTACTTTTGTTATCATCAATTATTGCTTAACCCTACCAAAACTAGTCTTATTCAGTTTAGTACAAAACAACATAAAATTAATGACTTTGAATCAGTATCAGTTGGTCTAAATAACCATAAAATTAACAAAATTGAAAATACTAAGTTTCTTGGTTTAACAATTGATAGTAATTTGAGTTGGGATCACCACATTGAACAAGTGGCTAAAAAGGTTATATCTGGATTATTTGCTCTTTACAAGCTATCAAAAGTATGCAATCTAGAAACCTTAAAAACTGTTTACTATGCATACATACATTCAAATATCAATTTTGGAATCTGCGTGTATGGAGCAACAACTAAAAGTAATTTAGATCGTATTCTGATTTTACAAAAAAGGGCTTTAAGAATAATGCGTAATCTAAAATGGCGAGACACTGTCAAAGAGCATTTCAAAAATGTTGGCATCATGACTGTTTATAGTTTGTACATTTATGAAGTGATCATGTATTGTAAGCTTCACTTTGATGAATTGGGTTTACTAGGGGAAAGCCATTCTTACAATACTAGAAATAGGCTAAACATATCAATGCCTATTCATAAACTAGAATTTTACAAAAAGAAAACTACATATGCTGGAGGAAAATTTTATAATAATTTACCAGATAACATTAAAAAAGAAGTTAGTATTATTAAGTTTAAAAAATTGTTAAAGAATTATTTAATTTCAAGACCACTGTATTCATTGGAAGAATTTTAGTATGTTTAGTTTTTAATTTAGTCTTATGATTATGACAACATCTTTGACGCAATTCTATGTACTAATTTCATGTACAATAATGAAATAAAGAATGTTTGAATTGAATGATACGATTACGACATGTCAATTCCAAACTTGATAGTCAGCGACTAGTCTCTTTTTTTAAACTATTCTCGCTTATCTATTATAATTAATACGCTACATGAAAATTTGTCGGTTGAACTCCTCTGCCATTTCTTAACCGATTTTATCCATTGACGTCTCATTGGAAAGAGCGTGTTGCGTAGATTTGCAAACTGGCCTGGAAAAAGTCCCTTGGGCTCTGCCCCAGTGGCTTTGAAAGTTCCCATGTTATCCTTATGAAGAACATAATTGTTTACATTTTGATCAGCTGTATAATTTAATTGCTGTTATTTATTTTTCAATTCAATGAAACGCATTCAGTACATTTATTTACTATTTGAGTTTGTGTAAACATAACCCCCAAGACGGATCGTGTTAGTATGGTTGTATCTTAAATTTGTGTATTTATCGTTGTTTTGTGTCGCTATGACGGATCGTGTTAGCATGATTGTAACTTAAATTTGTGCGTTTATCTTTGTTTTGTGTAGCTATAATTCGTTTATTTGTTTTTTTTTTTCTTTTAAATGCCTCCGACGCGACGACAACGAAACATAGACAGGAGGCGTAATCGTGATAACGACCGCAGCTACAGAACAGTAGCGCGTAATAGGCTTAACTCATCACAGTCAGCACCTGACCCTGGACAATTTCAACTATTAGGTTACAAATGCGCCCTAACACTACCCCAAAACGACTTATCGTTCTCAATTGGCCCTCCATAAATGACCTGTGTTGCCTGTACAGCGAGGCATTTTGAGAAGGAGAAAACCGGCCGAAATGCTTTAGGTTCATCAATAACGAAGATAAACATGGTCTGAGTTACACACCGGTAATCTTTGAGTTGACTCATTTAAACTCATTGTAAATATGACTGTTATTTGTTTTGAAATAACTCCTGTGATAATTTGAATTGCTCAAATTCGAGCAACATGTACACTAGTAACACTTAATAAAGAATTTAACTATGTTTATCCCTCTGTAGGAACACCAAATAAATACATAATTTGAAAGGCTGAGTACCAGAAATTTACAAAACTATACTTTAGGCTGGGACAAACTTTTTCCTGACGTGTCCATTTTGGTTTTCTCGTGCCGAGCTTGTCGACAATTTCAATTATCAAAAATGAATTGAACCTAAACACAAACGTTGACATTACACAGAAGGACAAAATACAATAAAAGGACAAATAATTCAACAAACTTAAACTCAGACTCACCCCGATCACATAAATCCCAGGCTAGGGTTCGGGGAACGTTGAAAATCTTGGAGGACAAGAAACAGGAGAAGTGTCATGGCCGTAGTATCAGAGAAGAAGGACAAAAGGATTCACTTCCAAAGCCAAGGGAACAAGGGGGCCGGAGGGGAAACTGAGTCCAGTTGGTATAGATCCGGAGTCAACTCTTCTTTTATTTTGATTTTGGGTCTCAAACGGCAGGCAGCATAGCGCGCTTATGCAGCTTATAAACATAGCTGAGTTGATCAGTCTCAGCAACGTTGAGAGGGTTGAATAAAAGGAGATTCCACTTCGAAACGTTACAAGCAATAACAAATTGTGGTACGCAATGAGAACTGACAAAGTAGGATTGTATACAGTTATGTTTCTGTTTTTAATGTCATGAATAATTTGTGATTTTTTGTGAATTCGTAATAATTTTTTTTTTTTTATTGTTTAAGTGAAGTGGTAGAACTATGGCTATGGTAGATGTGTAATACCATTAGTATACCGTCAATATAAAGAAGCAAATTTTGTCCTCCCCCATTTCAAACGCAAAGCTTGAGTATAACTGCAATAAGCATTTTTAACTTATATACCAACCCCGTACGAAGGACGGGTACTCTGCTAGTCTATATATAAAGCCGAAAGTACCCATGAACTTTTGAGAAAACTACAAGTCACACCCTCATAAACCATATACGTGAAACCTTGCGCAAAACTATCCATTTTTTCATAAATTGCCCTTTAAGGTCAAATTGCTTTCCAAAGGGAACTTTCCATATACTTAATGTTAAAAATACCTCAGCTGTTCTTATTTGTATGTTATTCTTTCAATTTATTACCTTACAAGAGTATGTACAACAAAGAAAACGTCACAGGAATTACCAAAACTTAAAGGTCCATCTATTTTAACACTTTACAGCTCACTTTTACTGCCACTGTTAGCAACAACTGTTTGCGATATGACTCCTTGAATTATAAGTAACTAGCAGAGTACCCGTCCTTCGTACGGGATTGGCACATAAGTATAAAATGCTTATTGCAGTTATACTCAAGCTTTGCGTTTGCAATGAGGGAGGACACGATTTGATAAAATTTGCTTCTTTAAATTTACGGTATACTATAGTATTACACATCTACCATAGCCATAATATTCTAATTCTACCACTTCGCCTTAACAATAGAGAAAAATAAATTGTTTAAGATTCGCAAAATATCACAAATGATTCATGAAATTAAAAACATAAAAGTAACTGTAAACAATCCTATTTGACAGTTCTCATTGCATATCATAGATTTTTGTTGTTGCTTAGTTCAAATTAGCTGTTTCCATAAATGCAAAAAAAGTAATAGTGCTCCTGTTGGTAAATCTTATAACTTTTAATGCTTTTGCATACCACAGAACCAACTTGTTAAGTTGAAACAGCTGACTAAAAAACTTGTATTCCCTTAGAGTAATATGAATACTTATAAGGTTAACATGGGGAACCACAGAGCCACTGGGGCGGAGCCTGAAAGGATTTTTGAGATAAAAATATGCCTATATGTTAATCAGGAATGTTAGCTATAATCATAACAAATTTCAGCCCAATCCGTCCATTAGTTAATATGTGATTGAACTTCAAACAAACAAACACACAAACATTCACATTTATAATATTAGCATAGACTAACCAACACAAGTAGACTTCTCATCCCATTGTAAATTTTGAAGCACGTTTTTCGTGTCTAGTTCATGTACGTGACACATGGGCGCTAGTGTCGACGAAACTTAGTTTCTATTATTTTAGGGTTAATTTCTTGATTTGTGCTTTACTGTTTGGTTATATAACTAGGGGACAAGTTATTGTTTATGATTAGATCGTATTATTTGGTTAAACGAGGTTTTAAATGGCTGTAATAACGGGAAACAAATTGTAAACAAAACACGACCTCTACATAAACCGTACAGAACTAACAATAAAATTGTCTTCAGCTGTTCCATAAGGATGAGAAATCTACTAAGGGAGTATGTTTTATCTATGATATTAGTAAGATAAAAATCTGGTGTGATTATTTGTTTGTAATTCTGTATTCTGTTTTCTTTATTTCAGCTTAACTTTACCAATCAATAGTTTTATTTGGTTTTATTAATGCTTCAAGTGGGTTGAAGCCCGTGGGTAACAGCTAGTTGAATTAAACCTGAATTTAATCAGCTGAGACAGCACTAAGTACAAACGATGAAATACTAATGTTGAGAACATTTCCACAGTTTCCTATCAATTAACTACCGGTACTCTTCATTTAGGTTGAACCATTTTTTTTTTCAGGAAACCTTTAGTTTGGCGATACTTTTACATACTCACCTTTGGGATTTTTCTCCTTACATATCCTGAGGGCGTAAAGGGTGGTTTCCAAAGGTGTCTCAAATTGAAACACAACTACATTGGCTCTTGTCAAATATTCTGATGCTTCTTCAACTTTTTGTTTGGAGAGACAGTTATTAGCCCCAGCCACAATAATGATCTGATTTTCTCCTGCAAATAACAATAATTGTTGCATTGTAAGGGGTGTTTAAAATTTTTAAATTTAAAGACACCTCTCTTTACCAGCACGGTAGGAAATAGTTGCTAATGCTATAAAAAAAACAATGTTCACCAACAAATTCTTCTTCTATGATTCTAGGCCTACTTAACTGTTGATGGATTTAATAAAATATTTTAGGAGGGTACATTGTATTTTTAATGCCTTCACACAGTTTTTCAAATTTCTTTGTGTCCCTAAGCAAAGGGTGATTTCATTAGCATAAAGAGAGATAGGTGTCTGGACTGTTTAATAATAAGAATTTCTGTTTACACCAATTTATAGCAATATGTAAGGGGATCAAGAACAAATCCATGGATTTATTTTGATCAAATTAGGCAGATTTTTTATTTTATACTAAGCTACGGTACTAACATTTTACACAAAACATGTACTTTATTACCTTCCCTGTAGCAGCAAATCTAAGTATACTCGTTAAACCAAATGTTTCTTAAATAGGCGATGGATCTCACAAGCTTAAGGAAACAATTGAGGGAAAATCTAATCAGGCAAATAGAAATTTGTTTAGTCTGCAGGTTTTCTGCATTGGGGGTATTAAGGGTTTTGACTGACTTCATTATTGCACTTTAGTAAATGTACCGGACTGATGAAACTACCCAACTCATTTTAGAAGGCAACAAAGCTACACCTTTAATAATTTAAATAATTTTTTCACAAGCTACCTACATAGATACGTATATTGCCGTTTACTCAAATGACTCACCGTTATCTGCCACTGAGATCTGGGCAACTCCACTTTGGGTAGGCTCTTGTGAGATATGTTTGGTGTTGACTCCACTGTTTTCCAGGTATATTTTGTATTCAGAACCAAAAAAATCGGTGCCAAGCTAGATCAAACAAGATTACAATATTGTAGAAGTATAATTGGTTAGTTAGTAGCCTACCAAAGAGAAAACATTGAATTTCAGCCAAAAACTACTAATTCACTAGTCACTAGTTTACAATCAGAAAGTTTATGTTTTATACCATTTTCAAACTAATGATTAGGCTAAAAATATTGTCACTTTAAGTTTTTCATATTTTAAATATGCTTAGCTTTGTTCTAGGGATATGTTTCTCTAATTTATTTTATCAATGTAAATCGGGTGCAATTTATTCCTTAGAACATTCACCAATATAGTAAAAGTGTAAGTTAATAAAGGAAGTATTAAGACTTACACATGCAATGAGAGCAGTTTCTGCCCCTAGCCGAGTCGCTGCAACACACTGATTTGCGCCTTTTCCTCCCCAGTCCTGTTTAAAACTCGTCCCGTGGATGGTTTCACCATATTTCGGAAGTCTTCGTGCAAAACTGGAAAATTTATGTTCTTTCAAGAATTGTTTTTATGATAGGCCCTATTATATTTGACTTATGTTGTTAGGGTATGTTAGGTAAATGTTAAATTCACTTTTAGGTACACTCTGTGATCTTACTCACTTACCTAAGCTTACCTTCATAATCTTCATATCTTTGGGAATTGTTGGAAACAAAACAATATGGTGTAACAAACAACCCAATTACCTATAACCTGTACACTTTACCTTCCTAATCTAATCTTGTTTGAAAACACGTACCGGTACAGTTTCTTAACTGGGCTACGCTAATATTGATTGAAACTATCGAATTGAAAATATCGATTAATAATCGATGTTTTAAAATATATCTATTATAAAATTAAACTATCATAACCTAACCTAACCAACCAAACTTGCTGATGGTGAAAATATTGCATGAAGGTTTACTAATCGAAACGATAGTTTCAATTATATTAGCGCAGCCCAGTTAAGAAACTGTACCCCTTAATGCAGCCATGAATCCCCATAAAAACTGACCTACCTTCCCCACATGCCTGAATGAGATAATTGTTTCTTGATAACCTGTGATATATTATTGTATTAAATATAGATATAGGCCTAGATTTGATATTATGTATCGATATAGATTCAGTTCGATATATTGTTTCCTAAATATGTTTATTTCCAATAATGTAAACAAACGTGGAATTGGGTTACCGTACTTACTTACTGGTAATACTTGAAGTCTTTATCCTTGACCGACACTGTCGGATAGATTGTGTCAATACTCTTGCAAGTTAGTTAACAATGAACATATATTCGCATCCATACTCTTCAGAGTTGTCAATAAGTTAACATATTTACACTATCTACAGATATTATGATCTGTTATGACCCGTTTAGGCCTACAAATTATATTGATATTTTAAATGTAAACATCGAATTGAGTTAGTTATGATTGGTTTAGGTTTTGTTGAATAAATCATATTATTCAACCAAAAGCAGACTGACAATTTAAATTCACGTCCTTAAAGGTGAGAGATAGGCTATTCACAAAGGTGATTCTCAAGATTGGGTAATTGGGTAATTACACATTAATTAACTTAGGCACCCTTTTACCCATCACATTACCCTTTTCTCTCCTGATTAACCACGTTTTATCTCTCCCACCCAAAACCCCGAATTCCCACCGCCACCGGCCCCCTACTCAGTTGAGGTTATTAAATATATTTAATTATCAATAAAAAGAGGCCTTAGCGCCAAAAATTCTTTAAGTAAGTTGTATTATTGATGTTTAGAATATAGTTAAAAAGTGATTTTTAAACGTTTAAGCTGGGGTCTGGTTCATAAATAAGTAGGCCTACCTAATTATGTACTGTGATTTGGGATCAGGATCAGATTATTTGGATCCCATACAGAACATTACTATTACACACTATATATTTTATGGTACTTACTGGACTAGGTTATTGTTCTAAGAGTATATTTAAGGTAGGTACCGTAATTGTTACTAACTGTTGTTATTCATTCATTGTTACTTGTCATTTATTTTAAGAATATTCATTTATTGTTACCATATTGCACTCAATTTTTGTTACCTGTTACTTATTTAGAGTATTAACTTATTGAACGGCCTCCCAATATATTTACTCTTGAGTTGCTTTGTTTACTGTTAAGCATGCACAACAATGTACTTTTCACTGTATTGGTTATACCTAACGTGGCCATACGTCCCGCTTTCGGCGGGACAGTCCCGCTTTACAACAAGTTATCCCGCTGTCCCCACAATCGGCCGGGGGACGCCTAAATGTCCCGCTTTGGAGGTCAGGCGTTTGAAATATTATATATGGAATATGAAATTTCGCCTTTCCACACTAATGTTTGGTTCGTGTAAGAATACTTGTTAGGTCGACCGCTTAGAAAAGAACCTCCATGCCAATGCTAATGGCATTAGCGCGCAGGTTCTTTTCTAAGTGGTTGACCTATAGTAGTTTTAAGGAAAACTAAAGGAAACCAACCTATTAACCTATTTGGTTAACTGTACAATTAGCACGTCATCGTTCATCGATCCTCGATCGCGTGAACTCAACTATCTATACTATACTTGTCAAAGATCGGCAAGTACAATTTATTTCCGCGCGAGTGTTAAAGCGCTGTAGGCTACTACACGGCCTCAAAAGACGGGTTGTCACTGTTGTCAGTAAACTAAACTGTCAAGTTGTTTACAGTACCTTAACCTCTCTTTTAGCACAGAAAACATACTACTGCTTTTAGGTACCATTCAGTGTGAAGAAAGTTTGTATGAGATTTGATTATTGTACTGTTCAATTGTGCATTAGATAATGACCAAACAGAAATGCACATTTTTAATAGTGAGTTACAAGCGAAATATCCGTTTATTTAAACTTAAGTTTGAGATGAACAAAAGTGATGTGACCCGCCATTTGTAAATTCGCGTCATTCGCTCAGTTCCCGCTGTTTACGTGCACTTGGTGAAGCTATCCACTTTTGAGGAGATTTCTAAGTAAAGATAAGTTATGTTCCGTTCAATGAACTTACAAAAAGGTTAAATATAATAAAAACTCAATTAAAAACCAATTTATTTTTTACAAATTATTATGTCTAGATTGCATAAAAACGCTAGTTTACAGCTATTATTTTTCAAAATTTGTCCTGACCCCCCTTTCAGCTGAGGGGTATTCCATACCGGGCCCGGAATGGGGTGTCCCGCTTCGTACTCCAAAATGTATGGTCACGTTAGTTATACCTAGCCGTTTAGTGAATAAATAAATAAATAGGCCTAAATAGCATCACTCCCATTTCCTTGTCCAAGTCTATATGAAAGCCGTATATGAAAGTCTATATGAACCGTGATGTCTTGCATCGTTTCCTTGGCCTAGAGCAATAGCTTAAGTGTCCTACCTTATTCCGAATTTTGTCCAAGGAAAGTTTAAAAATGCAGAATAGGCTATAGGCCTAAGTATTTAAACTTAAGTTACCTATTTAAAAAAAGAGAATTTCAAATAGAGTTCCTCTTTTGCCATTGGCAAAGCCTATGTCTAGTTAAAACTCAAACAAAACCAGCGATCACTACTATCCGGTATTATCCTAACCTAAAACTAACTAAAGACCTGAATCTCAAATCTGATTTGTTAAATGATTAATTAATAATTAATTGTTCTATAACTTATTAATTAATTGTTTACCATGTCAGGTCAATCATGCAAGATCCCACAACAGCTATTCTGACCATCACGGAAATATAGCTACGGTAAATTAATTAATAAAGCGTTGAAAGTTAAGTTTAACTTAGTTGAGGTTAAAATAAAAATAATGAAATAACGACTAAACGACTTCCAGTTCCACTCTTCCACTTCTCCACTTCTGCTTGATGTTCTTCTGTTGTTATCACTTATCTCAGTCACTTGACTCACTTGAGTCGCTTCCACGTCGCTACAGAGTACAGACAGGGGAACGGAACAATCTTCGGTAGGGTGTCGGAGTATGTTTTTATCTATGGTCATACCTTGAAATGGCATAGCTTAAGGTCGATTCACACATATCAGTTTTTGAGTTTTTTTGGAACGGAACGTCTGTCACTTAAACAACCCCACTTGCGACGTTGCCAATTCTACCAGGCCACAGCCTGTAGTTAAAGGTGACCGTGGTAGCTGCTAGCTGCTAGTGCATACGCCAAATTTGAGGTACAGTTGTCGCAGCTAGTCTGGGCGCGGACCCTTGTGTTTGTGTACTAACCGTAAACCGTCCTCCACGCCAAAGCCATGAAGACAGCAGTGAGGCGCTGAACAACCCCAGAGAGCCGTGTGGGCCAGATGTTTTTGGAAATATAAACACTCCCCTCTACAGCCCGCACCATAGCGCGGCCGCGCGCCCAGACTAGCTGCGACTACTGTACATTGTACGATAATTTGTTTGAGGATCAATCAGCTTTTCCATCCACGATGACATCATTTCCGTGTGTTATAAGGATTTTGCTAAGGCGTTCGATCGAGTTAGCCATCTTCACCTCATTGCAAAGCTCGAAGCTCTCGGTATCACTGGCCCTCTTCTTACTTGGATTCAGAGCTACCTTACGGGGAGAACCTTACGTGTGAAATTTGCTTCATATTGCTCTAGGTCTACGGTACAAGTGACATCGGGTGTGCCTCAGGTAGGACCATTCTTGTTCTTGTTCTGTATATTTATTAATGATATTGCGAAACCTCTTGCATGCAAGTTCCTGATTTTTGCTGACGATGTTTAAGTTTTCACCGAAGTCACATCCACCCAACAACAAATTGAGCTTCAACAAGATCTGAGGAGAATTGAAAATTGGTGTTTGGATAATTCCATACAACTGAATACAAACAAATGTCAGGTGATGACTTTTGGAAGAACCAAAACGCTGCTGTCCTTCAACTACTGTCTTCACGGTGCGCAACTGGATAGGACCCTATCGATTAAGGATCTTGGAGTTTATCTCACACCTTGCTTGGATCCTGGACTTCACATTGCGAAAATTTGTTCCAAAGCTAATTCTGTTCTTGGGTTGATAGCCCGGTCTTCTAGAGGTTCTCTAACTACAGCATCAGTGAAGTTCTTGTACAACTCTCTTGTCCGTCCCATCTTGGAGTATGCTTCTCCTGTGTGGTCACCTCATCAGGTTGGCCACTGTAACTCCCTGAATATGGTCCAGAGGCGCTTTCTCCGGCGCTTGGTGTCAGAGATGGCACCTTCACGTGAACGTCCACGTGATCGCAGTGGACCACCGTGTGCTTTCACTCAAATCACGAAGAGCCGCTTTTTTTATCTTCTACTACTCTTCAAGATCATCAATGGTCAGGTGGACAGTCCTGAACTACTTGAAATGATTAACTTCCATGTCCCAGTCTCCACCCGGAGATCTCGACCCTTCTACAAGCATCACCAGCCGACTGCCTACGCTTACCATTGCACAGTTCCCCGTTTACATCGCCTGGGAAATGCAGCTCAACTTGAGTTCTTCGGGTCTTCCTTGCCACTCTTTAGGAGAATAGAAAACTTTTTAATATTAAAATACTAGCTACTTGGGATGTATAAAAAATAAAATGAAAGCTCAATAGAGCAATGGGGGAATTGCGGCACCATCTTCAAATTGAATGCTTCTAATTTTACTTCTAGTTCCCCGTAGCCTAAGTGAAACTGCTCGAATGATGGAAAGCTGGCTTTGGAGCCTCAACCATCCTATAATTTGGGAGTATGGTTTTCTCCATTTTACAGCCAGGGCTTCGCTTGTTCTCCTCTTGTAATAGTGTTTTGTTTTATTTTATTTTAATTAGGAGAATAGTGTTTAAGTGGGCCGCTGACCAGATCCAGCTTTAGTCGTTGTGCTTTTGGTGGTGCCTCGAGGGCCACACTTCAAGTGCCATATGTGTTGTGAAGAAGTGAAGTGAGTGTTTTTGGTGGTGCCTCTAAAGGGCCACACAACCAGTGAGAGGAAGTGCCAACTGCCAAGCAATAGTTTTTCTTTTTGTCTAGAGTATTTATCACTGTATCGTTTTCATTTTTAAATATTTTAATCCTTGTTATTGATTTATAAAATCTGTATCAATTGTTGTTACTCTTTGTTGTAGTTTTTGTATAGTTTTTAATGATATACGGTATTTCTTTCAATTAATTGTGTTCTTTTGTTATTGATTATCTTATTGATTGATCATCTTCTTGAATATTAATTATCTTGTTAAGCCCACTTGTAAAATGGTGTTTGCCGTTTAATAAAATGAAATGAAAAGCCATGCCACATTTGAAATTGTAAGCTATTGAACAAACGCGATTTTATAAGCTATACACAGTACATTTATTTACCTATAGCATTATAAACTATGCCACATTTTAAGAAAATCATTATAAGCTATGCCACATTTTCACGATTAAAAGCTATGGAACAAATTCGCGATAATTATAAAGGCCAATTTACACACGAATTCTGGGGTGAAGCTTTTGAGACATGGAGTTCCCCAAGGCTCGGTTCTTGACCCCCTCCTCTTCACTATCGTCATTAATGATCTGGCCTTAAACAACAAAACATTGCTTTTTGCAGACGACACCACACTGGTCACCAGAGGCAGGGATCTAAACCAGCTACGTGCCGACGCAGAATGCCTTTTGTTTTATGCAAAGGAGTGGTTCAGCCAGAATCTACTCAAAATAAACGACGACAAAACACAAACACTGCTATGCACACTTAAGCCAAAACTACTTGGGCGAGGAAGCCGTCAAACTCCTGGGATTCTGGATTGACTCCAGGTTAAGTTGGAAACAATATATTAGCCAGGTATGTGTTAAGTTTGCTAGAGTAGTATATCTCCTGAGGAAACTGGCATTGGTAATATCTAAGCCATACTTAGTGACTGTGTACCATGCTCTTTTTCAAAGCCACGTAATAGGGGAGTCATACCTAGGTCCACCGCGGTCAATCTCCCCCGCGCTAGTTTCCGCAAGGTCTGCGGCCGGCGGAGCATGAGACCAACAATCCCTCCCACTTGCCTCTGAGTCGCACAGTTTGGTTTGGCCGACCTAACCAAATGGCGCGGCGGACAACTGGAGACTACTTCACTCGTAAATACGCCTGCAAAATGTAAGATACTTTACCAAAACACTGCTGTATTGCGGGCTGACTAATGAGACCGTTTTCTGTAAAGTAGTAATTGTACAAATTACCGTACACTTGCTTGGCTACGAAAAATAATTATTCAATTATCATATCTATTACACGATTATTAATGGTTTTGAAATCCATACACCACTTTACTCACTAATATTAATGGTACAGATTAAGCACATAACATTAGAATGATAATTTACTTTAAACACAAATGCAAATTGTTAACGACAACATTTAATTAAAGACAAATCAATCAAATAACAATAAGCCGTTTAATTATTAACACAAAAGGTTTCGTATGATTAGATTATGAATACTGATAAACCACCTATGGCCATCTATAATAATATTTGGGGTTTCTTTTCCGAGTCGGGTTAGCTCTTCTACTCGACCGATTTTCATCATTTTGGCCTCAAACTAAAGGTATGGACGCACTACAGATTTGCAATCAAGAATCGGCATTCATTTTTATTTACGTATATTTCGAGTTATGCACAAAATGTGTCCCTGTACATTTCTTATGGGAGTTAATTTTTTTTTCAAGTTCGTTTGGCTCTTCTGCCCATCCCATTTTCTTAATTTTGGTCTTAAAATAAAGTTATGCAAGCAAATATTTGTGATCAAACATAATCATTAATTTTTTTAATGTATTACCCAACGAAAAAATTTAATTTTTTTTTTTACTTCAATTAAAGATGTATTTCAGCAGCTCTAACTAAATTACCCTATATGTTTTGGTCTAAAGACCTTTAGTGAAATACCAGCTTTCATTTGAGCTATTAATTATTAAGATTCCGATCTTAATAATCGTATCTAAAGCACTGTTTTAATCAGTTAACTTCAAGATACTGTATCGCTCAATCAGAAAACATAAATTTGATTATATCTTGGATGTGGAATTTAGTTTGTGATATTTTTACTCAATTCAAATTACGTTATTCTATTTGTTTTGACCTAAGAACCTTCAGTGAAATACCAGCTTCCATTTGATTTATTGATTATTAAGATCGGACGTACCTAAAGGACACAGCTTAATCACGAACAACACAAATTGTTCAAAAAATAGAGTTATTTATCATCGATTTATAGTCAAACTATCTTGCTTGCAACCTCAACAGTAACTGTCGACTTTGACGGGTTTCATCTAGTCAATCTTTAAAAAAATCAAACTTTCATAATTATTTGCAAATCTACACAAATTAGGCTTACCAATGACCTATTAATTAATAAAATCGGTTCAGTATAACTGTAGATTTAATTGTACAAAGTTTAACAACAACATCTTTCATTCAGTATTTTCTCACCACTATAAATTGGGAGGTTGCTTAACGTTTTTGAAAATAGAGTAACTTTTAAATGGTGAGGAAATCGACCAAAGTGGACGGTGATATTCTTGATAGAGAATAAAATTTCCTACAAATTACTATCATGTATTTCCTGAAAATACTCAAAAAAGACAGTCAATAAAGAGAACCGATAACGTGCCCGGCATGTCATTCCATTGTGGACCGAATAATTATGGGTTGTCTATTGAGAATAACTGTTGGCCCTCAAACACCAAACACCTACTACAAAACACGGGGTGGCCACAGGGGGTGCAAAGCCTCGTGGGCTGTATAACACCACAGAAGCGGAGCGGCGCGGCGGTTCGATGACCAGAGGGTCCAGTTTTGCGAGCAAGAGAACAAAGAGTTTGCGTTCCTTGAAACCCAAACAAAGACTGTTGTGTTGGGGTGCTAGCTTTCTCTCGGCGGCAGGTAGCTACAGCCGCGACAAGGGTCGCTGCAGTTGTAGCTAAATAATACCATCGACGCATTGACGGTGGTGGATAGATATTGTTAAAATAAAAATTAATTATAATAATTATCATAGTTCAATGTCCTAATTAAGAGCTTAATTTTTACGCAAAAACCTTATATCAGACAAATGTGCTTTATGGACAGATTTCACGTTTAAGTCCCTACCACGTGCAACACTTGGTTTTTTAGCAAATTTCCCTATAGGAAATCAATAGTTTCTTTGCAAACGTATTGACTGTTTACAATTAACATATGTTCTTCTTCTCACTTTTAGTTTCTGCCAACAGTGGTTGGAATTTCATAACAGTGTTTGTTTCCCATGTTAATCTTATGGAGAAATACGAAACTTTAAAGGACCTCTGGGCCTCACTCAGTAATTATTTCCCTAAGCAGAAAGTTTCCTGCACAACTTTACGTTACGCTCTTTCCCATGGCACCAAAAACATGCCAATCGGTTCAGTAGTTTCGGAGGAGTAATTGTCACAAAAAGCCTGCTTGCGTATTAAATAAGTAATACACGTAATAGATATACTGTTATAGTGTCCCTGTTGCTGTTTTCTTTTTAGTATATCAATTCATCCAGGCTCTCTCTCTCTTTTTTCTATTGTAATATTTGCGCCAACCCAAATTCAAATCTATATAATTAATACGCAACATGAAACTTTGTCGGTTGAACTCCTCCGCCATTTCTTTACCGATTTTATCCATTGACGTCTCATTGGAAAGAGCGTGTCGCGTAGATTTGCAAACTGGCCTTACATTTTTGAAAACGACCCTTGGGCTCTGCCCCAGTGGTTTTGAAAGTTCCCATGTTATCCTTAAGAAGAACATAATTGTTTAGATTTTGATCAGCTGTATAATTTAATTGCTGTTATTTATCTTTCAACTCAACGAAACGCATTGGGTTCATTTTACTGATTTACTGATTTTGGTTTAATAGAAATGAAATAAATGTACTACTTTAATTTACAATTTAAATAATCGAGAAAGCCTTGGCAATTTGATATATTTTACCTCCTATATAATGAAGAACACCTACAGTATGAATATTCCCACAAAAAATGAACAAGGATGTTAGTCGAAGTGTTACTATTTTGTAGGAAACACGGACTTAACTTTATGATTATTGGCAAAGGAAAACACTCTAAGGCTGAATTAAACTGTTACTGCAAGGACTTTAATATATGTTTTATTAAAAGTTAAGAGATTTTAAAATAATATGACTACTTTCAAAAACTTTAATAAAACTTTCATTGAAGGATTTGCATTATTCACATTTAAGAGAAACAAAAAAACCATCTGAACAATATTAGGTTTTTCAATTCTGCATTTTTTCTGGTAAATTTATCCATTGAGTATAATACGTGTACTCAATTATATAACATACGTTATAACAGTAACTAGCCAAATTATTGCCAATTGATGAAAATACAATTGTGATGGAGAGGTTATGCAGAAAATCAGGCAGTTCTTAAGTAATGTAAACAAAATGTTATCGTTGTAAAAAAATTACAGAAATTTGTAAACGTACTGGCAACAATGGGTAGTAGCATGCAGACTACATTATCATTGACGAAGATCAACATGGACAACCTAATGCGGCTATAAGTGGGAAATATT